GAAGGAGGGCCGGGTGACTTGGAGCCGTTGGGATCCTTTTCCAGATCGCTTCACCCTTTTCCAACATCGAAATGCGCTTTAATTTCCCCCACCCCCCTCTGACTGCTCACTTCGCATTTACTGCGATTGCGAACACGAGAAACATCCACAGCGATGCCTCCCTCTGCTACCAGCAGGCAGAACCAGCGCTCCTGCAAGAAACGCCACTCGAGGACGCGGGCTTAATTTTGCTGCCTATTTTTAAATACACGGGAACCGCCATAAGTACAGTGCAACGTGGGAATACAGATTGTAAATCGGATCTTTAAAAGTCTCGGGTGGTATCTTGGCAAGAGAAGCTGTACAGGGTTTTTCTCTGTTAACATCACAGTGCATTGAACTGTTAGTAATAAAATAGCTTTCAAGGTTAAGGTGGGGGAAGGAAATCTCAGTAGGGGGAAGCTGAAGTTTCAGGTTCAAGCTTTGTATTCCTATATATATATATATATGGGTGTATACATATATATATATATGCATTTTTTTCAAAACGTTTTATTAGGAAAGCTATACCAGACGCATCACTGTACAATGATTAAACATTACCTTTACAATTTATATTCACTTGAAATTACAGAATAAATATATGCACATTGTTGTACCTTTGTGTGTGTGTGTGTGTGTGTGCGTGTATGTGTGTATGAGAGAAAACATTAAAAGTGCTTCCTACAAAGCTGTTAGTGATAGGTGCCCGGTAGCTTGCTTGCCTTTTTTTTTTTTTTTTTAATTTTTTTTTTCTCCTTTTTCTGTATATTTGCACGTTGCTTTTATTAGGAAAGTGCGGATGTCCTCCAAAAAACCATGGCGTCATGATGAAGTGTCACTGAGCATCCCCTAGGTGTGTGCGCCACGTTGTTACATCCTTCGGGCTGCTCGGCTCCGGGTGGCTTCCCCCAGCCCACGGGGTTCCCCTCCGCGGCCAGCGGGACCCGCTCCCGCCCTGCGCGGCGACCCTCCCCTCCCTTCCCTCTTGCAGTTTCCAGGCATGCAGCAAACTGCGCTCGTTTGCTTCTTTGCATTTTTTTTTTTAAATAAATGTACAGAATCTGTGCCATGATGGGCAAGAAGAAAGCAAGCCACAAAATGCCATCTTCCCTCCCCTCCAAGGGAAAATATTAAAGGAAGTTTACTGCAACGGAAAAGAAACAACAATAAAGAAAAGAAAAAGGGGGGGGGGAAGAAAAAAAAAAGAGAGAGACACACATAGAATTTACTTAATCAGGATCAATACAAAGATCCCCGATAATAATAATAATAATAATATACCTTAGACATGGCACAGTCAAAGTCTCAGTTTCAGTATAAAAAAATAATGATTGATTAACATCTGCTGGCAAAAGTCTGCGAAGGCACTTCATCGATTAATGATCTGAGAACGGCCCTGCCCCGCAGCGCGCACATCTGGCGGGGGAGCGCACACAGCTGTATCCTCTACTCGCATGCGGCGGTGCCGGGGCGGGCGGCGGGGCGGCGGTCAGAACCGGTACGTGGTCTTCTCCAGGACTTCGAGGTAATCCGGCTTTGTTTGGAGTTTGGCCCTTAACTCGAGGTATTCGCTTGTGGGGGTTTGGTGGTCTGAGAAGCCCTTGCCGGCCGCGAAGAGAAGGGTTTCTTTGAGCCTGGCGTCCTGCTGGAGGTCCGGGTATTGCATGCCAGGGGGGTGGACGTGCAGTTCCTTCAGCTTGGGCACGGTGCCGTACAGGCAGTCCACGAACCCCACGGCGCAGGGCGGCGGGCGGTCGCGGTCCCGCGGGGCGCCTCCCGCC